AGCTGCACTGTGACAAGCTGCACGTGGATCCCGAGAACTTCAAGGTGAGTCTGGGATATGCTCCGTTTTTTCTTTTCACTTTTTAGTCTTTCACTCTGATTCTTTTCCCTACCTGTTCTCCCCCCACCTTCCTTTTTACTTTAGTATATACCATCACTGAATGCTTTTCAAAATTTACATAATTTCATATGTTTTCTTTCGGTATTCCACATTGTTTCCTTTCTCACAACCTCTTTTTTTTTTTATCAAGCCCTTCATTTAATTACTTATCTTTTGCCCCTCTCTCTCCCCCCCAACTTTTTCCTCTACTCGATACCCAAATTATGCACACTAGCTCTCATCTTCTCCTTCTGTGCTTGGAAAAGTCTTTCTGTCTCTCCGTATGAAGATTATAAGGGCTCTTCAAAGAGTTCTCACTCCAGAGACTACAAATCACCTCAAAATTATAGAATAATTGGGCGTGTGATGTGATGAGCATAGGGTGTTATATGCAACTCATGAATCATTGGAAATTACTTCAAAAACCAATGATGTATTTATTATATGTTGGCTAAATTGAATTCAAATTAAAAAGAGAAAAATTGCATTTTTATAGTCAAGACTCAATGGAAAGGAAAGGAAAGGAAATATCTGAGGATGATAGAGCAGAAGTAGAAGTAGGGCAGCAATAGTTGCTAAAAGACAGCCCAGCATCGTACTAATTAATTAAGTATATATATATATATAATAAAAATGTAGAGTATACATACATATATATTTACTGATTTATGCTGATGGAGATAACCTGAAGATCAGTTTGGGCTGGAGTGTGGGCAGAAAAAAAATAAATGATTGTTGGCTCAGTTTCTCAGAAGCCCAGCTTGATTTCTGTCTTAATCATGTATACATATCTATCTATGTCTTCCCCACAGCTCCTGGGCAACGTGCTGGTGTGTGTGCTGGCTCACCACTTTGGCAAAGAATTCACCCCTCAGGTGCAGGCTGCCTATCAGAAGGTGGTGGCTGGTGTGGCCAATGCCCTGGCTCACAAGTACCATTGAGATCCTGGCCTGTTTCCTGGTGACCACTGGAAGACCCTGTTTCCCTAAATTCTATCTTCTGAACTGGGGGAAATAATGTCCACCATCAAGGGTATGGTTTCTGCCTAATAAAGAACCTTCAGCTCAACTTCCTGATTCATTTCACTTATTTTGTTTTTTTGTCTGGGGGTATGGTACATCCCTGAGGGTCTACAGATAGGAAGCTCTTGTAGGGGACGATACATATCGCTAGTGGATGACACTTTTCCCTCCAAAGCATAGGCACGGTCAAGAAGGTTTTAAATATATAGAGAATACTGGCATCACAGGGGCTCTATGGAAGACACAGCCCTCAGGCTAATGCTTTGACCTATTTCCTACAATTAGTGAAAAATACGGTGCTCAAATAGAGACATAATGAATGATCAAGACACTGTTGTGTTTCCTTTCTCCCTACTTCCCTTGCCTGCAGTGTAGCCTACCATAGCCTGCTCCTTCCAGTGGGCCGACTCTAAGGAATAACCTCCCTCTTTTACTTGCCCCAAACATGTCCATAAATAATTCCTTCTCCCACCCTCCCATGTCAGACAAACCGCATGCTTGCTTATCACTTGTGATGCCTTTGCACCTTGGCCTCAATGCACTTTCCAATATTGCCTAAGAAAAGTTTTTCAAACCCTTCCCCTCTTCCTGTTTTTCATATTTCTTCTTATCCCTCACCCTCACACTCTAGGCTGTATAAACATTTCTTCCTGTTTTGTACTGTCACACATGATTACCGTGCCTTGTGACTTTCCTTCATAGGCAAGAAGTGAATATTCATTAATTGAAGTGGCCGGAGACTGACTGACTGAATGAATGCTTATTCCCTGTCTTAGAACTGCTGGACTAGAGGACAGTCTGAATCAGGGACCACTGGAGAGAGGTCCTTTGGTGTCAATGCCCTAGTATAGAATGAGGAAAGGGAAACACTGATCAGACATCTGCTTTCTGTTCAGAGCCTGCTGGACATTTGGCCTTATGAACAAAATGCCTTGTATAATTTTGGAAAGGGGCCCAAACTGAAGCCAAGACTCTGCTCCTGGGATGTAGTTTCAAATTTAACCTGGGAAAAATTGCCCCTTTGCTTTTCATAAATCAACACCCTGGCCCACATAGTGACATAATCTAATTCTGAATGACGCTCTGAGCCCAATGGAGGATATATTTGTGCGGTGATTATAGACTGAGACATTAATTATTCTGTAATAATTAGCACAATCTTTATCAATCTCATGGCTAGATTGGCTTTATTGTTTGTCATAGAGAAATATGACTTTTAAAAAATGTATGTCCATCATTTCTCTGAGTTCTCTCTTCTTGGGATATTTTTATATTATTTAATTTTAGTAATTTAATTTAATTTTTGAATGGATGCTAAACTGAGGTAACCAAGAGATTGTGGATCTGGGAGAGGAGTGAAAACTAACTGTGCCTGACCCAGGAAAATAGGGATTATGTTGAGAAATGCCAAAATGATGAATGGAATCTAAAACTAAACACTACTGTATGTACAGAAGTGTTCTTGTTGAGTGTCATTTAACCAAATAAAACCACATACTTCTGGATGATGATCATGAATCTTTTGATCCTCATCCTCTTAATTATACTCAGACCAGATCCATTCTGGTTCAAAACATCAAAGTATGCAAATTTCACAAGCTGGAAAAAAGGGAAAAAATGTCTTTCTGTCTCTTTCTTTGGGGACTTAGGGTGTGTGTGTATGTGTGTGCGTGAACGTGTGTGTGTATAGTGCTCACTGGGACTGGGATCGATGTAAAGCAGACATCCTGTGCTACCCTTTACAGGGTAGAAGTAAGTTTAAAATGGAAAGGATGGCAGTGGGTCAAGAAGCTTTCTAGAATCTTTGAATGTTGATCTGGATATGAGCCTGAGGCTCAGAACATAATCACATTTATCAGTTTATTCTTATTTTCATCTGATATGTCTGAGCTTTTGATGTCTTATTACAACTTGCAGCCTTGTCCCTGAAGGGTAATGGGTAAGAAAAGAAGTCTGTCTCCCTCTACAGTCATGCTAAGTAGCAATGGTGATGGGAGAGAGAACCAGCAACTCCTCTTCTGAAGCCAGGAGCAAGGTGGCTGCAGCAGTTGCCAGTACAAAAGCTCAGTCCGAGTCATTCATGGCAAAGAAAGCTGAAGGAAGAAGAGACAAGAGAACTTAGGAGAACCCTTTCTGAGTACAGGAAATGGTAGGGGAAGTCCAGGTAGATGCTAATTTCTGTCAGTCAAGATGGCAAAGCTGGGGCCTTGACAATTGGGCTCTTGACAGGAAAGTATAAACATATTCAATACTGTTATTTACTAAGCCCTGCGAATCTCTCATGACAGAGAGTCCCAGCAAAACACATGTCCAAATGTCCAAACTTCCCTAGAACCTCCCTTCGCACACTTATACCCGAACTCTGACATCGGGGGTGTGAAATAGAGTCTTGAGAACAGTTTGAATGTAAAACAATGGTAAAGCTAATGAAGTTTTAAATTTAGTAAAATGAAACTCAAAGCCTATAGCTCAATGTGTGTGTGTGTGTGTGTGTGTGTGTGTGTGTGTGTGTGTGTTTTAAACATTTAAAACACTGGAAGGTCCCCTTTTCCTGGAAGTCAACATGTGGAATCTTGCCCCAGGAATAGACCCATAGTAAAAACATCTTTGCTTAAGGGTTTTAGAGAAGAATGAATATAAATAGAAAATGCTGGAATTGTATCTCTTTGGGCACGTAATTCTGACCTAACCTCCAGGTTACCAGACAAGAACCAAGCCTTTCCTACATGTCTGAGAATTACCAGAGAGAGGTTATTCACAAATACTTGGTAGGCTTGGTACAAGTAAAAGGGGAGAGGAATCCTTCCTTACTTAGCAATGATGGAGAAAGTAGTTTAGGGAATCGAGCAATGGAAGTGGGAATTCAGGGAGTTGATTTGAAATAACTAGAAATAGAGAAGTCCTTTTCTTCTGGTTCACCTAGAAATGTTTTTGTAGTTGGGGTTTCTGTGTGTTAGAGGTGAAAGGACGAGAAGTTTCTGTTAAATATTTGTCACTTATGATGACAACAGAGAGAGAGAGAGGTGATTCTAGACATTGGGGTACCTGGATCAAAAGAAGATTCTAAGGTGGGAGAAACAATGTAAGTAAAAAAAATGCATGGCCCTTTCCTTGCTTAAAGGAAATGGGAATTCAGGAGTGGGCTAAGTTGCAGGAGGTACAGATGATGGGAAGTCAGAAAAAGAAACAGCAGGGCCCGCCAGCAACACCGAGATCCTATGCTGAGCTCAGAAATGCTCGCTGCTTTTGCTTTTTTAATGGTATCTTTTAATGGTAAGGAGCAGAACTCCCCACTTCAGTTTTTCTTCGCCTAAGAAGTTAGTCATCAGAATGCATGATATGGGGGAGAAAAAAGTGAGGGGAAGGATATTGGAAAAGCTGTAGAGATAGAAGGATGCATCCTAGTAAAAAAAGACCAAAGCAAACAAAAATATGTAGAGAAAATGGGATTGGGGTGATGAATTTAAATAAAAGAAATGGGTATGCACACAGCATTCATAGGGGTCTAGGGGTAAAAATAAATCTGGGACAAAGCCAGAGTGCCTTTCCACTTTCCTGCCCCTCATTCAAGTCACAGAGAAGTTTCTCTATCAGTCCAGGAAGAAATCATTTTTTATGTCTTGCGTTAATTAAAGACATTGCTTCCCTCAGTGTTACCAACAACTTTGGTTTATAGTTGATTTTTTGGTTATTTTTATTTCTTACTATGTCAAGAGTCTCTATGTTTTGATCTGTGGATCCTCAAAACCTAATAGAGTAGTTATTTAACAGGACACTCCTGATTCATATGTAATTCCATTTTCAAAACATCATTTGTTTGCTTATATGACTAAATTAAGAAAAAAATGAATGAATGAATGAATGAATGAATGAATATTTGTTTTCTTTCTAGGATGATTTAATCCAAACCAAGAGAAGGAAGATAGACATAGAATTGTGCCAGAGGTTCCATCCATGCTGTACTTGTAATTATTTTGCCCATTCTGAAGACACAGGAGGAGAACCATCCATATGCTTTTAAGTGGAACCACAGTGGACGAATGTCTTCTACTTTCTGGACCTGGGATTCTTCATTTGTGTACAAAGAAAATCGAAGAGGCAGTCTCTAAGAGATTACCAGGTTGTGATTCTCAAAATTGTAAGATGCTAGCCAAGGAGAATGATTTAGTAGCAATTTGTATTGCTAAGATGGGAGCTAGAGATCCCTAGAGAGAGGACCAGGGTCTGAAGTCCGACTCACAAGCAGGTGTCAGAACGGTCAAGGAGAGGGATGGCAGCCACCATTCAGGCCTCACCCTGGAGAACCACACCCAGGCCTGGGCCAATCTGCTCACAGCCCCAGGGAGGGCAAGATTAGGGCTGGGCATAAAAGGAAGAGCAGGGCCAGCTGCTGCTTATACTTGCTTCTGACACAACCGTGTTCACTAGCAACCACAAACAGACACCATGGTGCATCTGACTGCTGACGAGAAGGCTGCCGTCACCGCCCTGTGGGGCAAGGTGAACGTGGATGAAGTTGGTGGTGAAGCCCTGGGCAGGTTGGTATCCAGGTGGCAAGGCAGGCTTACGGAGAGTGAACGGAAGCTGGGCAGGTGGAGATGGCTCAGTCCCCTGGGTTTCTGACAAGCTCTGACGCCCCTGTCCTCTGTGCTCTTCTCACCCCTCAGGCTGCTGGTTGTCTACCCCTGGACTCAGAGGTTCTTTGACTCCTTTGGGGACCTGTCCTCTCCTGATGCTGTTATGGGCAATGCCAAGGTCAAGGCCCATGGCAAGAAGGTGCTGAATTCCTTTAGTGATGGCCTGAAGAATCTGGACAACCTCAAGGGCACCTTTGCTAAGCTCAGTGAGCTGCACTGTGACAAGCTGCACGTGGATCCCGAGAACTTCAAGGTG